AGAGGGAAATGGAGGGAATCACGTTTCAGTAATCTCTCTCTCTATTTGTGCCTAAAATATCTGGTTTTGAATTGAATTTTGCAGAAGACTTAAACAATTCAAATAATCATTTGATGCACAAAAAATGAATTTTAAAATAATTAAACATTATTTAAAAGGCAAATTGGATTCAATTCACGTTTATGTGTGAACACAATTAGGATATGCAGACACAATGTACAGATACACAGTATCTTATTTAACATTATTAACACATACTGTATTTCTAGACATTGTTTGCCTTTAATTAAGTTACTTTTTAAAGTTTTTTTTATAAAGATTTAACAAAATATAATAAAATTATTAAATAATTTAAATACATATATAATTCTATTATAAAATAATTTAAATATTTTTAAGAATTTGTCTAAAATTGCATAATAAGTATATAAATAATATATAAAATTTCAACAAAATTTAAAGAAAACATTGGGTAAAAATAAAATTATATTTTTTAGGTTTCAGATATTGAGTTGTTGATACTGTGTTATAATTTGCGGCTTATTTAATAAAGATATTTTTATAAAGTGCTGGATATACAAAAATAACAAATACAATTTTATATATTTAATTTTATAAAGAAATATTATATTAACTCTAAATTTCATAATTCAATAATAAATTATAATTGTGTTTTATAATAAGATATTAACCTAGTTCATTAAATTGTTTTGGCCTAATTATATAGTAATATAATTAAAATTTTGCATTAAAGAGAAATAAATTCCTATTTATTATTTACAATTTAATAAATTTATAAACATTTGAGCACAAAAGGGTAAAATCTATATTAATATCCATATACTGTACAGAATATTCTTGATCTATTAATAATAAATATCTTTGCAAAAATATTAATAAATTTCATTTCATTTTATTTTAATTAAAACGTGTTTTTGGTTTATTTGACATTTAATATCAATAAAATGTAATTTTATTTATATTTCTCGTAAACATAGAGTCAATGAACAAAAGATATGGATGAATATCGCCCTAAACTACAGCAAACATTTGACAATCAGAGCACATGTATTCATAACACGAATGCCAGTGCGATGTCTATTGAAAGTCGTCGGCAATTGGGAACCAAAGAAACAAAGAAAAGCAAAAACTACTGGAATTAGCATTTATTGATCGGAAATTTAAAATTTTTATTTTATTATACGCTGTAAGACATTGGGAATGAATTTTAAATTCAAATATTGTGCAAATATATGAATGGATTCTAGGTTTGAAAATTGTTAAATAGAGTTAAGAAACTGAGATATTCTTTAAATATTCCTTATTTTTAAACACTAGTTGTTAAATGTATTTATGAAAACAAATTCAATGAATGCATAATAAAAGTACTGTATTTATAACTTAATGGCTTTATTCAGTAATAGCCGTGTTTTTTGTCATAAACAGTATTCAAAGGTTTCACACATAGAAAAATACAAATTGAATTTATTGATCAAAACTAATTCAATATTCTGTATATAAATATGTGATAAAAAAGGCTATAATATTATAGTACAGTATAGTAATAGTATATATCAATACTTATGTAATATTATATAATATTTGATTTGATTTCAGGCAAAAGGATTTCGTGCAAAACAAAATACACACACAAACTCATCATTTGGTATATAAAAGCCAATTATTATCATATAATAACTGGTAATGATATGAATTAAATGTGCGAATAAATACCTTATTGGGCCAGGATTTGGGTGCTTTGAAGGCGACTAAATGGCTGAATAGAAGAGAGCACATCACCCATAGAGCTGAGGCTAAGCTAAAGTTTTTTGTGCGCTGACGTCCCCACGGGTTGAGACCGAAGGGACTGAACCACTCGTAAATGGCAGCCGCGATAGCAGTGGCCAAAAGACTAGTGAATATCGCGAACCATAATTGATAGCTAAATGGTATGAGAAATGCTTCGAGCGGTACGTCGGCTATGTGTGAGGCCCGGGCGAGACACGAGACACCCGAATAGAAAAATGGCACCGAATAGTCGATTGCCTGCAAACACACACAACAAATCAATTCATTAATCACTTTCTAATTATTGTCTCAATTGTATGACTTGTTGTAATAGTGGGTCACCTGAACACGAGTGCTGGTAGTACTAAATGCGGTGAACGTCATGTGCGCGACATCGTTGACCAGATCGGCGGTAATGCCGTCCCATTGGCCGCTCAGCGCTAGCGTACTATTTCTGCGGACACCGAACAGGCCGTCGGCCACTAAATACAAATCGTATTCAAAGTTCATGTCTCGGGCGACGGCATTGAGCAAATCGATGGATATTCCGGCACAACAATGCACTTCGTAACTGATTCCCTAAATATTCGAGGGTAGCAAACCTTTAGTACAGGTGGCGGAACCCGATATCATCAAACAGATCCTGGTGAAAGAGAGAGAGAGAGAGAGAGAGAGAGAGAGATTGACATAGAGCATTTTTAATTAAATTAAATATACAATTACCCATAGATTTTGCCGAATTGTTTCGTTCGCTGCACTTCGAGGTCAGGCTTTGACACGAATAGCAGATCTAATTGATTACCGAATATGACCACTGGTTTCGGCCCTTTGAGACCCAAAGTGTCAAAGAAACCAAAAGTACGGCTTAAATGTCTGTCATTAAAAAAACATAACTTAACTTAAAGCAAATATTGTAATACAATTGTAATACAATTACAATTATAAACACCTTTAAAATTATAGCAGGATATTTTATATTATAACTAAAACTTTCTAAAATAAATACAAATATTATTAAAACACTACAATTTCAAAAACCAGATAGACAACGTCTATAGACTCTAGATCAGTAACGTCAGAAAGTGCCAAAAAAATACTATTCAGATATCAAACTCAATGATAGCACAAAACCTACGTCTACTTAAATCATGTCTTTTGACATTCCTGCTCTATATCAACCTTATTTCATTGTAACAGTGTTGTTTGTACAATGTTTGTAAATTACAGACTATGATCACATGTTTGAGCCCTTTTAGGCCTTAAGTATCATTGAAACCAAAATTACGGATTAAAACAATAATTTGTAAATAAAGCACAACAACTAAATCAATTAAAAATACATTTAAAATTAACACAAAGTAATTATTTGTATTAAAACTGGCAAATGTAAAAACAATTAATATTAATAATATTAAAAACTTGAACAACAATTTTTTTTAAATTAGTAGTTATTAATTTGCTAACCTTGATACAAATGTATTATTCTCTTTATAATACAAAACATAATTGGCTTTTTTGTATAATACAAAACTTTGCAAATATTTTAAAAATCTCACAAAGACTATAAATTGATTCTACAATAATACTATTTAATTGAATAGTATTCTACAATTAATAATAATAGCATAATGATTATAATAAATATCGCGAATTATATTGTGTAAAGCTACTTTAAAAGGCAATCAAATTCAAATTAGTTAAGAAACTTACTTATATATAAACCAAACAGCAATCGTAACACACAGTCCATAGATAGGCCACGAATTCAAAGGCAAATATGAGTGCATTGTTTAGAAAAATGCTATTGAAAATGAATTAAATGTAATAAAAGTATATATTTGATAATTTATAAATCTAATGTTAATATTTAATAAGATAAATATTAAATAAACTTAAGTTATTGAAACTGAAACTATACCGTATATTATATTGTACTGTAAACTCAATATACTGGAACTGAAACTCAATTATACATGTACAGTATATTTATACCAACACTATTAAGTAAAACTATCAGTATATTTATTTAAAAATTGTTTATTAAAAACTAGCAATAACATTTATTATTTTAACCATAATTCTTTTATAGAAAATGTAGCTTATAGGATTGATAGGCCCCTCCCCGTCCTAATCTTATGGGGTATAACATGGGATACAATGTAATCTTATTGTTATAATTTACTTCAACATTGAGAAAATCTCATTGGTTTAACATGGGAACATTTTAACATGGGTTTTTATGGATTTACAGCTTATCTATTCTTTAAACAGTAACCGAATTGTGATTAACGTATAGCATCGCTGTGTAAACCTTATTTAGATTTTATTAAGGCTATGGTAGATGTTGTAAAAATTGTCTGGATAAATATATTCATTTGTCATTTGATTACTTAATCATATTATGCAATTCATTATGTTTTAATTAATATGATTATTTATTGAAATATTATTCCCAGTAATTATTATTGAGTAGAAATACTTCAACATTAGCTATTGTACAATATTATTTAAAATATATAATTAATTTACAGGTAATTGTAAACATAAAAATTATAATTGTTTAAATTTATTAAAATAAATCTCTGATACAAATTACATTATTAAAAACACAAAATTAATTAAATCTCAAAATTAACGTATAAATAATTGTAATGACAAATTTAATATAAACAAGTAATATTATAAGATTCATATACATGTATATATTCTTGACTTTCTAGTATAGAAGTAATATCAAAACAATCAAAATTTTACTATTTTTTGTCAACACATGAGTTAACAATTTACATGCGTTTGCTGTGACGATACGGTCATACGATAGTGATTGGCGTAATTGTGTGGATATATAGGATCTGGATGTGAGACAAACGGTTGTGTTTGAGACAAAATAATTGTATTAAAAACAATGACATATAAAATGCCGCTTAAAGTGTTATTCGTGCCGATCCTCGGCGACGGTCACATCAATCCCTGTATCGGTATTGCGACCCAAATGATAGCCGACGGACACCGCGCGGTGTTTACGGCGAACGACGTTTGGCGGCCAAAACTGGCCGCTTATGGCA